ATATTGAAGAAGTTCAAAATGGATCAGTCAAAGAAGGGGTTCTTGCCTGTATTGCAAGGTACGAGATTGAGCACGGCTCAATGCCCGACCACGGCAGAAGATAGAGAAAAGATGAGTGTCGTCCCCTATGCCTCGGCCATAGGGTCTATCATGTATGCTATGCTGTGTACCAGACCTGATGTAAACCTTGCCGTAAGTTTGGTACGAAGGTACCAAAGTAATCCCGGCATGGAACACTGGACAGCGGTCAAGAATATCCTGAAGTACCTGAAAAGGACTAAGGAAATGTTTCTCATTTATGGAGGTGACGAAGAGCTCGTCGTAAAGGGTTACGTCGATGCTAGCTTCGACACAGATCTGGATGACTCTAAGTCACAAACCGAATACGTGTATATTTTGAATGGTGGGGCAGTAAGCTGGTGCAGTTGCAAGCAAAGCGTTGTGGCGGGATCTACATGTGAAGCGGAGTACATGGCAGCCTCGGAGGCAGCACAAGAAGCAGTCTGGGTGAAGGAGTTCATTACCGACCTAGGAGTCATACCCAATGCGTCGGGCCCGATGACTCTCTTCTGTGACAACACTGGAGCTATTGCTCTTGCCAAGGAGCCCAGGTTTCACAGGAAGACCAGGCATATCAAGCGTCGCTACAACTCCATTCGTGAAAGTGTTCAAAATTGAGACATGGAGATTTGTAAAGTACATACGGACCTGAATGTAGCAGATCCGTTGACTAAACCTCTCCCTAGAGCAAAACATGATCAACACCAGAACTGCATGGGTGTTCGATTCATCACAATGTAACTAGAATATTGACTCTAGTACAAGTGGGAGACTGTTGGAAATATGCCCTAGAGGCAATAATAAAATGGTTATTATTATATTTCTTTGTTCATGATAATTGTCTATTGTTCATGCTATAATTGTGTTATCCGGAAATCGTAATACATGTGTGAATACATAGACCACAACACGTCCCTAGTAAGCCTCTAGTTGACTAGCTCGTTGATCAAAAGATAGTCATGGTTTCCTGACTATGGACATTGGATGTCATTGATAACAGGATCGCATCATTAGGAGAATGATGTGATGGACAAGACCTAATCCTAAGCATAGCTCAAAGATCGTGTAGTTCGTTTGCTGTAGCTTTTCTGAATGTCAAGTATCATTTCCTTAGACCATGAGATTGTGCAACTCCCGGACACCGTAGGAGTGCCTTGGGTGTGCCAAACGTCACAACGTAACTGGGTGACTATAAAGGTACATTACAGGTATCTCCGAAAGTGTCTCTTGGGTTGGCACGAATCGAGACTGGGATTTGTCACTCCGTATGACGGAGAGGTATCTCTGGGCCCACTCGGTAATGCATCATCATAATGAGCCCAATGTGATCAAGTGGTTGATCACGGGATCATGCATTACGCTACGAGTAAAGTGACTTGTCGGTAACGAGACTGAACAAGGTATTGGGATACCGACGATCGAGTCTCGGGCAAGTAATGTACCGATTGACAAAGGGAATTGTATACGGATCGATTGAATCCTCGACATCGTGGTTCATCCATTGAGATCATCGAGGAGCATGTGGGAGCCAACATGGGTATCCAGATCCTGCTGTTGGTTATTGACCGGAGAGTCGTCTCGGTCATGTCTGCATGTCTCCCGAACCCGTAGGGTCTACACACTTAAGGTTCGGTGACGCTAGGGTTGTTAGGAAGACTTGTATGTGATTACCGAATGTTTTTCGGAGTCCCGGATGAGATCCCGGACGTCACGAGGAGTTCCGGAATGGTCCGGAGGTGAAGATTTATATGTAGGAAGTTGTCATACGGTCACCGGAAAGGTTCGGGGGCATATCGGAATTGTACCGGGGCCACCGGAGGGGTTCCGGGGGTCCACCGGGAGGGGCCACCTCTCTCGGAGGGCCTGATGGGCTGTAGAGGAAAGGGAACCAGCCCTACATGGGCTGGCCGCATCCCCCCCCTTGGGCCCATGCGCCTAGGGTTGGGGGGGAACCCTAAAGGGGGCGCCCCCCTTGCTTGGGGGGCAAGCCCCTTCCCGTTGCCCCCCCTCTAGATCTCATCTAGAGGGGGCCGGCCCCCTTCCTCCTTCCCCTATAAATAGAGGGGCAAGGGGAGGTCTACACACAACATCCAAAGCGCAGCCCCTCCCCTCCCCAACACCTCTCCTCCTCCGTAAGAGCTTGGCGAAGCCCTGCCGGAGTACTGCAGCTTCACCACCACCACGCCGTCGTGCTGCTGTTGGAGCCCTCTTCCTCAACCTCTCCCTCCTCCTTGCTGGATCAAGGCTCGGGAGACGTCCTCGCTCTGTACGTGTGTTGAACGCGGAGGTGCCGTCCGTTCGGCGCTAGGATCTTCGGTGATTTGGATCACGACGAGTACGACTCCATCAACCTCGTTCTCTTGAACGCTTCCGCTCGTGACTACAAGGGTATGTAGATGCACTCCTCTCTCCCTCGTTGCTAGATGACTCCATAGATAGATCTTGGTGATGCGTAGAAAATTTTAAAATTCTGCTATGTTCCCCAACAAGAATTTCAAATAATTATGATGATATCTAGGCAACGATCAATATATACGCATCACGTCCAAGATTAGTAGACCGACTCCTGCCTACATCTACTACTATTACTCCATACATCGACAGCTATCCAGCATGCATCTAGTGTATTAAGTTCATGGAGAAACGGAGTAATGCAATAAGAACGATGACATGATGTAGACAAGATCTATCTATGTAGAGATAGACCCCATCGCTTTATCCTTAGTAGCAACGATACATATGTGTCATTTCCCTTTTTGTCACTGGGATGAAGCACCGTAAGATTGAACCCACTACAAAGCACCTCTTCCCATTACAAGATAAATAGATCAAGTTGGCCAAACAAAACCCAAATATTGAAGAAAAAATACGAGGCTATAAGCAATGATGCATATAAGAGATCAAAGAAACTCAAATAACTTTCATGGATATAAAAAGATGGATCTGATCATAAACTCAAAGTTCATCGATCCCAACAAACACACCGCAAAAGAGTTACATCATATGGATCTCCAAGATACCATTGTATTGAGAATCAAGAGAGATAGATGAAGCCATCTAGCTACTAACTACGGACCCAAAGGTCTACAAAGAACTACTCACGCATCATCGGAGAGGCACCAATGGAGGTGGCGAACCCCATGATGGTGTCTAGATTGGATCTGGTGGTTCTGGACTTTGCGGCGGCTGGATGAATATTTCGTCGACTTCCCTAGCGTTCTGAGATTTTCGGGGTATTTATAAAGCAAAGAGGCGGTCCGGGGGGCACCCGAGATGGGCACAACCCACCAGGGCGCGCCTGGGCCTCCTGGCGCGCCCTGATGGGTTGTGCCCCCCTCGGGGCACCCCCCAGGTGCAGCCAGGGCCCGTTGTGTTCCTTTTGGCCCATAAAAATTCTCCGTAAAGTTTCATGGCATTTGGACTCCATCTGATATTGATTTTCTGCGATGTAAAAAACACGGAAAAACAGAAACTGACACTTGGCACTATGTCAATAGGTTAGTACCAAAAAATGATAAAAAATGATTATAAAACATTCAAGATTGATAATATAACAACATGGAACAATCAAAAATTATAGATACGTTGGAGACGTATCAGCGATAAGAATAATACTATTGCGCACGTACTCGGTTCTTCCCCGCCGAATATTTCATTCAGGCGGGATTTGATTGGCCCCCGACTTGTGTCATGGCATCATCTTTTATCCCGACTGGATTCGATTAACCTGAGACAAGGCTAGGATGTGTTTCGCTGGAACCTTACTACATCAGGGTCTTTCACAGTAGACTCTATGTATCATGCACTCACGCATTCTGAGATACCAACGAGTAATATTAAGAAAATTTGGAAGTCTAAGATTCCACTAAAAATGAAAATCTTCATGTGGTATCTTTGTAGGGGAGTTGTGTTAACCAAAGACAACCTCGCATGACGCAATTGGCGAGGGAGTAAGAAGTGTTTTTTTTGTACTCATGACGAGACAATCAAGCACATCTTTTTCTAATGCGAGTTTGCACGATCTACGTGGTCAGTCATCCAAATAGTGTCAAATTTGTATCAGCCCACAAGTGTTGCCAATATTTTTGGTCATTGGTTGGACGGTATTACAAATAGGTTCAACACGCTAATAAGGGTGGCAGCGTATGCCTTAATTTGATCGCTTTGGCTATGTAGAAATGATTTGGTTCTTAACGACAAAAATGCTTCTTCTCTACAGGTTATTTTCCGATGTACACACTCGCTACGTACGTGGTCTATGCTACAACGGCCGGAGTACCAACCGCTGTTCATGGGGGTATGTGCACGATTGGAGCAGGTGGCTACGGAGGTTTTTTCCCAACATGGGTGGCAGCATAACCTACGGATCGATCCACCATCCTCTTCGACATAGGCATAATGTCAGTCTAAAGAACTCTACTGTTGCCGATTTGTCGATTTTTATTTTATGATTTTTTGTCAGACTTCTAAATTTGGATGTGTGCATCTTAATTATGCAGAGACTGGGTATTACTCATAATACTTTTTATCCGCTTGATGCTACATTTTAAAATAATAAACTCACCCTTTATTAGAAAAAAAATGCCTTCATCTGCACGAGACAGTGTGCAGAGCGGTGAAGCACGGCCGGGGCCGGTGGCTGTGTTGATTCAACAGCGGAATCAGAGTATCTTCACGCACGCAGTGCGCGTCTGGTTTTCCTTCTTTTTCCACAGCGTTACGCGGTAGCAATGAGCGAGGAACAGCAGAGCGCCTTTGGCGTTGCTGGCCCACCCCATTGACCGGCGAGTCCTCGCACCGACGCACTGTATAATTGTACTTGAATCAAAGGCCTTTATGTTCCAAGGAATCTGCTTTACCCATTGTCATCCGGTGAAGCCATTTACACAAGTGAGATAGGTTTTCTTCTTTGAGCCTGAGCGAAGGTGGTAAAGGGGTCAATGGCCAACGGCGGAGGCGGTGAGCACCTTGTCCACATAATAGCTGGCGGCGGCGGGCAAGGCAAGGTTGCCTCACCGGAGAAGTGGCTGAATCGCTTCGTTCGCTTCGTCGTGCTGATCGAGAGGCTTGGCAACGCGCTTGGCACGCTGGCATTTATGTGGGCGACCGTCGTGCTGCTGGGCGGCTACGCCAGCGAACTCAGCTCCGATGATGATTTTGCGTCCGCGACGACGATAGTTCTCTTAGAAGCCGTAAGGTATGTATGTAGTATGTATGTATATGCCGTATACAGATAACTACGTATATAGCACCTGGGTTGGTAGCAAATTAGCATTCCAAAAATAAGTTTGCAGCCTACAAAATTTACTCTTACATCCTCCCTGCATCGGTGTCATCAAAGGTCTGCTATATATGGAGTTGTACTGCCCAAACAAGAAACAAGCATCGCAGTTGCGGATCTAGAACCAGTCACCTTTTTTCTTCAATACCACAAATTCAATGAAAGAAACATGCAAGGAGCTTAGCACCTGAAGAGCAAAAAGACGTTTTGGATGTTATTGTTCACCCAAGTGTAGCCGAGAGCAACTAGTTAACGAGCGCTTCTTCGGAAGGCTCGCAACGATCAACGCCAGTTAACACGCTCTCAGCCATTCGCCACGTGTCGCGCTCTGGACGCTCCCTCCGGATTTTATTTTTTTATTTTATTTTTCCGCACGCGTTTTCGGCTTTTTAAAGGTTTTTTTTGGTTTTTTCGACGTTTTGGTTTTCCCCCGGTCTTTCTTAGCTTTTCGACCAATTTTTTTCTTCAAAAAAATGCATTTTTTTTCTTTTGTGAAAAGTCATGGTTTTCTACCACGAGAGGCACGGTTGTGCTTTAGCGAGAGTCAAGGCCGTGCCCTTCGGAAATGAAAAAAACACGTTTTCTGTTTTTTTTTCGCTAGAGTCACGGTTTTGCTTCCGCGAAAGGCACGGTTGTGCTTTCGCGAGAGTCATGGCCGTGCCTCCCGAAAAGGGAAAAAACAAAACACATTTTCTGTTTCTTTTCTTTCGCGAGTCACGGTTTTGCTTTCCGCGAGAGGCACGGTTGTGCTTTCGCGAGAGTCACGGCCGTCCCTTTCGGAAAGGAAAAAATACGTGTTTTCTGTTTTTTTTTCTTTCGCGAGAGTCACGGTTTTGCTTTCGCCAAAGGCATGGTTGTGCTTTCGCGGGAGTCACATCCGTGTCTCTTCGGAAACGGAAAAAAACGTGTTTTCTTTTTTTTTTCCTTCCACAAGAGTCACGGTTTTGCTTCCATGAGAGGCACGGTTGTGATTTCGCGAGAGGCACGGGCGTGCCTCTTTTGGAAAAGAAAAAAACCATGCTCCTAATTCGGTTTTTCGTCCGGTTAGTTCGTCAAAACCTATCAACATGGGATCTAGTTTTAAAGATCTCGACGCGAGGAATCTAATAATGAAAATGGTTCGAGATTTGAATGCACGGTTTAAGAGATAGAACGTTTTGAATAAGAGAATCTACAAAAAAGGGAAAACTCCCAGGTTGCGACAAGTGACGTGCTGCATGTGCGTCACTTGTCGCAACCTAGGAAGGTGAAGTGTTCTTTGCAACGAGTACTCCTTAATTAGTGATTTCGAGTGTAGTCACACCTCTGCTAGAGAAAGCACATCAATAACGGGTTGGGCTGCAATATGCAAATAACAGCAACAGGGCAATCGTTACTCATATTTGCATAACAGTTATAGGCCCATAATTCCAGCTCGACACTAATATTCGCAGATGGTTTTATAAAAAAAAGGCAGATTCACACACATTTTTCATAAAGATTTCAGATAATCCACACACCACAGATTTCACATATTACACACACATCACATCATTACAGATTTCACATGTTACACTGCAAAAACAACATATTTCACACATATATCACAACTAAAGATCACATGATAACTTCACATAAATGTATTATACAAGTTCATTGAGTGTAATGCAAGCTATTATGAATTAAACTCAATTAGTTGCACAAACAGTGGTTCTGCACAAACTCTTGATCTAGGCGTCCGAAACCCTGCAAAAGAAAAGAAAGCACCATTGATCACAACAAAGATCGATCACATCTAACAGAAGTACAAGCGCACACATTGAAGAGGCATGTGTGATCAAAAGAATAAAACAAAACCTTTGCATTTTTTGTTGATAATCTTTGAAAAAGAAAAAGCACTACTGCAAAATTACAGTAGTTAATATGATGTTGGGTTTTGCAAACCATAGAGAGGAGAAGAATTAATTAGTGACTTTGAAATCATGGTAAAGAACAAACATTGTTAGTAACACTAGCTATCAACCTGTGCGGATCCATGGGCTACATTTAGGTATCATTTGCTAGAAATGTGGCCGTTTTACAATGTCTAGTTTTTGTTCACTATATTATAAACAAAACAAAGGAATTGCAGTCTTTCGCATTTATTAGTCATTACTGATAAGATCGAAGTGGTTTTCTTTGAATATCCGGGATTATTCGGTTTAAACAACAGTGAAATGAGCGTAAAAAATACACTCATCATTATACATTGTCTACATCTCATCAAGAATTATTATTAGAAATCACTCTTACCATGAGTTAGCTCTAAGATTAGCCATATTTTCCGTCTTCTTTCTTTCAATTTTTGCTGTATTTACTCTATTTGCTTTGGATCACGTGTGAATGTGAAGGCGGTTCGATTACCTTTTCCCGTCTCTCCTTTACATAAGCAAATGTGACATGTGAGCGAGTTCAAACCCTTATTGTACTTACTCTAAGGTCCAAAAAGTTAGCCGCAAACCCAAACCAACACCTCTTTAAACATCTCTTAGGCTTGTGATCTGTATTGTGTTCTTCTTCTTTAACGATACCATATACATATTTCAGGATGTTCACCCGTGACAACAATAGACTTGATTATCAACTGTTCTTCAATACCAGAGGAGCTTTTAGGCCTCTTGGCTGGAGTGGACTGATTGTGATTGCATGTTTTTCTGGTATTCTGGAAATCATCTGGAAGGTTCTCTGGAAGAAGTACTTGACGAAGTTTGATGGGAGCTTACTTATTGCAGTGACACTATCACTACTTGCTCTTGGCTGGTCAATAACTGTTCAAAGAGCTCTGAAACTACTCATATGCAATCCAATGCGTCGTGCCGCATCAGTATGGACTCTATGGGGCCCATTAGTTGCAATCGTATTGCTAGCTCCCTCTATATCCATAGACGGCTCGATGATTGAATGGGCAGTGTTCGCAGTACTACTTGTTGCAGTGCTCATAACAACAATAAGCAATCTGCGGTTCACAAGAATCAGCAAACTAGTGGACAGTGTTCTAGGCAGCAAACAAGAATTTTGGCGTAAAGTTACTATAAACATGTGCATGATTGTTGCTCTAGGGCTGCTGGTGCTTAATGAAGATGATACATCTATGATGATTGCATTCGAGGTATGTGCTCTATTGATAGTGTCATTTGGCAACTTACAGATTCCAGCAGCAGTTGTGCGGGTCATGCTAGCATTAAATGAGCTTAGCGAGCCTGCTGCATATAATGAAAGCGTGGATGGCCAAAAAAACATTAAAGCCTCTCTAAGAATCTTCTATGGGATGGTGCTTGGACAAGGAATACTCTATGCCGTGGCCTGCATGTTTGAGTTCTTTTCTTTCATCCCTCGAAGATCCCTCATCCGCGGTGGTGGATTTAAAGGTCAGTGGGGAATGAAATCTGTCAATATGTATTACGCATATGCATCAGAGAAATGCATGCAAGGGGGTGTGCTTGCTCCAAAGAAGATCAACCTCAGCACCTTTGCCATGAATTCTGTGAACTCGGATTCATCCAAGAATCAGCTCGCCGGGATACGAATGATGCACAACTTTCTGCAAAGTCAACCAACCAAGGCACAACTCCTTTCAAAACTCGCCACTTCTACCAAGACGATGGCCAGAATAATCAGAATGTTGGATTGGACAAGTCCAAAGGATACAGCTATCAGATTATATGCCGCAAAGGTCACTGCAGAGCTTGCAAAGAACCTCCGTGCAGGCACTATCCCTGGTACAATGCAGCTTGTATCTGCACTTCTTGACGCTGATGGCAGACTGGAAAGAGGAAACCCACTCCTAGACACTGATGATGAACACGAACGAAGACAAGATCCAGTTCTGAATACAGAAGATAGCAGAGAGGTGGCTGATAACCAATTCCAAACACAAGGTCAACTTCGGGACACTGATATCCTGCTGGAAACAGAAAACAGATCAACCCAAGAAGTTGGCATGAACAAACAGAACTCGTGCGTGCTCAGATGCTGGCAGCATATTTCAGAATTCTGGTCAATACCCAAGGAACAGCTGCGGACAGACCACGATCTTCTACCGGCACTGGCCATGTCAATTATTGAAAGTCTTGCTGGTGTTGACCAGGACAACTGTGTGGAGATCAGCAAAGCAGCTGACCTCATCCCGAAGATCATAAGATTCACAATCTGCAGAAGTGACACGATGAATATCAAAGCACAACAAGAGATCCTTCTCAAATCATCACTGAAGGTGCTGCAAAGGCTCACGAGCATTGGCGGGGAAACCAGCATCACACTGCGGTACAAGATATCAAAACACCCCTTCCTATTGAGTAACCTCTCAGGTATCCTTGAAGACGACAAGAGCAGCCAGATATCGAGAAAGTTGGTGGCGGGAATCCTCAGAAACATTGCCGTTGATGAGAAAACAAGGCAGGAAATTGGGTCGCTTCCAAATGATCATCACCAAGTTGATGCAGGCATTTCTCTACTCAGAAGGAACCATGAGTACCAATGATGATCACCTGTCACGGAAGGTCGCCGGGCAAGCATTGGCAATGCTGACAATACAAAGTGCCCAAAACTGCTTGGTTATATTGAAGGAGCCATGGTTCATGAAGGAACTCAAAATCTTGATCCATGATAAAAGGTACATATATCTGGCGGCAAGCCTGCTGCGTAATCTGTGCCTGCATGCTAGATCCGAGCTCAGAGAGTCAGACCTGAAGGAACTATCTCATACCTTGAGAGAGGTGAGAGCTGCTAATTCGAGCAACAAGTACACTATTAGAGATGCATAATAAAATTTACCATGTTTTGTCTGTTCTTGTGCGCAAGGTTTCAGTAAAATTTTGATCTTTATTTTTTGCTCACTCATTTACCACTGGACTATAGATAGAGATACACATCAATTTTTAACTGATAATGATACATCTCATTACAGGTGTTGGAAAGAATACTGGACGCGGATGGGGCAGAACTAGAGATCCTGATTGGGCTTAGTTCACAGATATGTAAAGTTATTCCTGAAGACTTTACCCGAGAACTAGACGCTGGTCAGATTAAGCAGAGATTTGCCAAGAGGCTTGTCGACACACTAAAAGCAAACATGAAACCTAGTGCTCATTGTCCTGGGATCAGGAGAGTGGTACTCGAGCAAGTCATACACTTGATGGAGTATAATTCTCGCTATGCAGATTGCTTCAACGCATTCGGGATGACAGATGCACTGTCAATGGTAGAACAAACACCGTCAAAGGCTGAAAACTACAGGCTTTTCTTGGGCGATGAAGGATTCATGGAGTACAGCATGCCTCTCTCAAAATCTTGTGGCCAGAGCAAAAGAACTTATGGGTTGTGACTGACTACGAGACACTAATAGATGGAAGTGGGACTTCTACTTTGCCTTTCTTGAATGAATGAAAAACTGTTGCGGCGAGAATAAAGGATTATCAATTTATCATATTGTTTATTAGTCAGGCTGCAAGTGGGACGCTTATTCATTTGTCTTCGAAATGTTTGCGACATAATGTTATGGGTGATTTAAGTGATTAGTTTTCCAACTGGTTCTAGTAAATCGCTGTTCGGCATAAATTTCTGCACATAGATTCTCATAAGGTCGGCAGCGATACAAAACAGATGCTTGCGCTCAAGATAAATAGATAATGGTCATATTTTAAGAGCAAGTAAACAGGTCATCACAGTTGAAGAGAAGAAGATGTCATCATAGGTTGGCCGGTGGTGCCCATTTCTGGGCTGGGTTGTATCAGTTTTAGCCCGGTTTTCCGTAAATTAACCGGGCAATTCTTACTCTCTTCTTAATCAATGAAATGGCGAGTCTTTTGCCTTGTTTCAAAAAGAAGAAGATGTCATCATGTTACAGTAGAGATACCACAGGCGTCTTCCTAGTGATAAGTTTGCTTTGCATGGGTAGGCATGGGTATGTTGCAAGAAAATCTAGTGCAAAATCTGCGTAAGAACCCAGTACCGGCCTCAGATAACTTGTACTTCCATTTGTAGCTGCCGCAGGATCAAATGAGTCCTTTATATTTGCATCACACTCCTAGTTGCGTGTCACTGTGATTACTTACTTTCATCGACAGATGTTGGAAAGAGTGGGTGAGGCGCAGGGGATAGAAGTAGAACTACATGACTTGATCAGATTCCGCCCATGAAGATCTAAAATCATTTCTGAATATTCCGAGCAGGCACTGACCGAAGCAAGATAGTTTACAGTGAGAGGGGAAAAAAGGTGTGGATAAGCTGATCGATGCACTGGATGAAGATACGATCGCAAGTGTTTGCAATCCAGGAAAATAATGAGGCAGATAACTGACCTTCAGTACATGGGGCGGTAGAATCCTCGCTGTAAACTATCCGGTGATTGCTATTGCCATGACAGGAGCGTGTCAAAGGTAGAAACAGTAGCCGGCTTAGGGGTTTCGATGAGCAAGCAGGGGTCAAGGTCTCAAGGAGTGCTACGGCATTACCTCTCGCTCTTTAGGAAGCAGCAGAAACCGCTCGACCTCACCTCACCTCCCACCTGCGAACGAACAGCAGGCCGATGGCGGAGCTCGATGACGCGGGTGGCGACGCAGCTCACGGAGGCCACGGACGGCGCCTCCCCCCTCTGGCCCCGCACGCCGGTGGCAGGAGCAGTGCAGCGACGGCGAGCACCATGCGAGCAAGGCGGTGGCTCCGATGCCGTGCTGGTACGGCGGCGGCGAGCGCCGGCGGCGGCAGCGAATGGGCTGGCACGGCCGCAGGATGGGCTCGCCACACGGCCCGTGGGCTTCTTTTGTTTTCTCAGCACACGTATGTTCTCTGTCTGAAAATGTCGGATGTGCCAATTCTCAAAACAAAATGTCGGATGTGCCAGCTAGGATGGATGGTCTGCCCGAGCGTCGTCCCCATCGCCGTCGAAAATTCGAATTGTCTTTGTCTTTTTTGGAAAAACCTCCAATCCATTCATCAGCAGTACAACGAGCAGCAAAAATAAAATTACATCCAGATTTGTAGATCATCTAGCGACGACTACAAGCATCGAAGCGAGCCGAAGGCGCGCCGCCGTCATCGCCCCTCCATCACCGGAGCCGGGCACAACTTGTTGTAGTAGACAGTTGGGAAGTCGCCATGTTAAGGCCCCATAGGACCAGCAGCCTAGAACAGCAACCGCCACCGATAAAAAATAACGTAGATCAGAAGGATCCAAACCGAAGACACACGAATGTAGACGAACAACGACGAGATCCGAGCAAATCCACCAAAGATAGATCTGCCAGAGACACACCTCCACACGCACACCAATGATGCTAGACGCACCGCCCGAACGGGGGCTACGCGGGGAGACCTTTATTCCATCTTCAGGGAACCGCTGCCGTCTCGTCTTCCTAAGTAGGACACAAACCCTAACAAAATTGAAAAAAAAGACTAAAAACGGCGCCCTCCCGCTAGCCCTTGTCAGGATCCACCGTGCCTCCATAGCCCTAGGGCCACCAGAGACGAGGCGAACCTGCGCCGGTGCCGGCGAGAGGCACGAACCCTAACTTCCTTTCTTGGAGAAGAAGGACGAGGCGGAGCCCGCATCCCAGCAGTACTGATGGACAGGGGCTCGGGAAAAGCTAGAAAAAAAAAATCTAAAAATGACCAATGAAAAACTGAATAGTCGAAAAAAGGAAAAAATATTTAAAAAACCGAAAATGCGTGCGGAATAATAAAACAAACAAAATCCGAGGGAGCCCCAGAGCGCGACATGTAGCGGCGGCTGGCACGCTCTCAGCCCACCTCAATTGTTCGTTGGGAGGCTACTGAAGGAGGGCTCGTCAACTAATTGCTCTCTTGCGACGGTGGTTGCTAATGGTTGGGTATGCCCGTGGGCTGGGTTTGCCACATGGCATGTCGGCATTTTCTTATTGTTTTCTCATCATATGAGAGGCGCCAGGTCCGTCAGTGGTATTTTTGGCTCCATGGACCGAAGATAACTAACAGAAAGCATACATGTACTTGGTGAAAGAGTTTAGACGTACCCCTCAAAAAAAGGAAGAGTATAAACGTCCATTATTATAAGATGATTCTATTGCATACATTCCCATTTGCATGGTGCCTAACTACTAAAGCTATCTGAGGCAGGATATGGGCCATCGGCTAAAAATGTTTGTCGCGTTCGTGATATATTGGTGTGATCGATCCACGAGGGAAACCCAACAGTTAGGGCAATATTAGGGCTTGTCAATGGAGATGGTCAGGAAAGTCTGTAATCCGGCGTAGTGATAAACTATGTCGTTTTTCTCTGGCATGCGTTGCATCCCAGTCCCCGGTAAGATGGGGATGGCGCTACAACTCGCCAAAACGAACTCGCATCGCCTGATTTGGTTTTTGAGTAGGAAATAGAACAACTGCAACCCTAGTTAATCCTTGGCACAAAACTTCCGCGAGGGCCGTCTCCTACAGTCCTACTGTACTCACGGCCTGGAAGCAGGAGCGAAATCTCCGCGTTGCGCGGCCTATCCCTTGCACCGCCGGGGTGGCAGTGGCGCAGAGGGCATGTGCCCGTCTCCTCCGCGCGGCTGCCGTTTGCGAGAAGGGGCCGCTCCTAGATGCCGCCCTCGCTCGTGCTCGGGGCCCGCCGCGGAGACGCGCACCCGCCTTCTCTTTCCCGCGCCCCCACGCTGCTAAAGCCCGACACCGCGTCACCGCCTCGCCATGTCCGGCCGGAGATGCTCAGCTCGCTGGATGCCAAACCAGTGATGGACGGAGCCGCTCGATCGAGCGACTTTTGGTGCCCTGTCAATCAGTCCTGCTGTCAATGGCATCATCGCAATGGCGTCGCGTGTTGTGTGCAGCTGTGCAGCAGGATTCGCACGGAAGGAGCGCAAATTAAGAAGACGGTATGCGCCTGCATGCTGCGAGGGGGCAGATGCCCAGTTCTCTCGGCTCATCGAGCGTACGAGGTTGCTTTCTTCTGAAACGTGGGTATCTAGCTAATACAAGTGTGTTGAATCCCAAATATCATTTACATGACCGATTGGCCTTTTCTTGTGATATTTTCTTAATATTACTTAAAAAGTTTAAGTATTACATCTGGCTTCTCCATAACTAAAATGCACACACCCAACCAAAATACAAGTTCAAAAAGTAAAAACAGCCGAAATACAAGTAATCATGTAGATACCGTATAACCCTAAAACATAAGAGTCAATTCTAAGATCATGTTGTCATCCATGTTGGGTAAAAATATCCCTCGCCATGTCCTTCAAGCGTGTACACACCTCCGTGATTCTCTACACGTTATAGAGACGACCATAAATGGAGAGTACTGGTATATCTGTAGAAAATCTGCATAAGAGAAAAACTTTTATTGTTAAAAACCTTTATCATTTCTATATAGCCAAAGTGGTCAAATAACAGCAAACGCTCCCACCCTAAGAATAATTCTAAACATGTGATCAATCCCACGTAACCAGTTGCCAAATATATTAGCAACATTACATGGAGGATATAAGGTAGAAACTATTTGAA